ATACACATTTCTTTAATATTATTTACTTATTATCATTGTGTATTTTGTGCTTTTGGGATAAAGTTTATTTTAAGTACACTTACATTTTACCCATATAACATATTGTTTGTCTTGCAAAACTACATTATCTCATTTTGCAAAATTTAAATGTGTTATTTTTTTAACTTAGTTTGATGATTTGCACTGAAGTGAATTAGCCAGGGATGCATAGTCCAGAGTATAGTTGCTCAAACTTCCAAATGTTCATCAGTCATGGCGGAACAGTACTTGGAGTTGATTGACTTCATCTGGGAAAAGGCTGACTTACATTAATAAGTGGGGCTGAATAACGAAGTCAAGGAGGGTAGCAAAATTCCTCATGTTGGGGCACTTTTTCTTTGTAAGTTCCAGAGCTGTTCATGAGCTCTTGACTACAGCTTAATATGTGTGCAGAGTCAAAATTTCATTATCCAGTTCCTGAGGTTTTCAGGGCAAACGTTGCGATTTTTGATGCAAGTAAATCAACCTCAGTGTCTTCATGAAAAGGATAGCACATAAAAGTGGCGTTTGACTCAAGCAAAGAAAAGTCTTGAAAGCGTTTGTGAAGCTCAGGCAGACAATTGTCAATGTGCTCCATGTAGGTGGAATGGCCCTTCCCAGTCAAATGCCAGCCGAATGGCAGCAGATTTTCCTGCAGCTACCACCAAATTGTCCTCACACTTCCAGCCGCTGGAGTGACCCCCTTTCACTGAATGACAGGATCGGACCGGAAGATGATGATTCTCTTTAGATCTTAATGTCCACAAATTATGATAGAATATTTTAGTACAAAGATTGATGTTTACAACGGAATTGTACGGGGCCAGCCAAGGGCCCATCAAGGAAAGTGGGGAAATTTTGAATGGCTACTAATGTAGGACTTCCCTTTCATCTTTAGCTTTGAAAACAAGTTATGGAAATTTCACAAATCATAACACGGCGACTCTAAGGGGAGAAGCTGCGGCTTTCTTTTAAAAGCATTGACCGAGCTGATCGTATTGATCACGCTTATGTCTTTTTCTTGCAGATTGAGGTAATTCAACATGTTTTTTTTTTTTTACAGCAATAGTGGTTCATTCTTTTGACAGTAGGCTACAGGAAATGGGGTATGAGAGATCCATGCGGGAAAGGACCACAGGCTGGATTTGAACCTAGGTCATCCACTGCAAGGACTAAGGCCTCCGTACATGGGCCACGCGTGCCAACCGCTGCGCCACCTCCACGCCCCATGAAATTCAACATGTTTGCCAGATTGGTTAAAAACTGCATTGTTGTATTCTGCATGACCAGCTGCACAGGAACATTTTTTGATCTACAGACAGTGCTCTCAGAATATTTATGGCAAGAGATGTTTTTTAAAGGCATACTATGCAACATTTTTCAGGTAATTAATGTGTTCCATAACGTTTTGGATGATTAAATGAGTAATTTCAGGTTGAACAAAGGTATTCTCGGCCGCCCTGGTGGTCTGTGGGGGAAATACCGCACCTGCAATTGCAGGAGCCCTCGGCCCGCACCCACAGACTCAGAAGTCTCGCGAGAGTCAGTCTTGCTTTACGGCGAGAACTGCTACACGCCCCCAGTTAAAAGCATGCTCGTTGCTAGCGCAGTGGCGATCTTTGTGCAGTTATGCTACGTTCACACCGGACGCAGCAAAAGCAGCAAAATCGCGTCTGCTGCTTCATTTTTGCTGCTTGTACCAGTTAGTTCTGACGTGCGGCTGAAGCAGCTTTGCTGCTCTGGCTGCGCGGTGCATAAGTGTGTCTGACGCACGTTGGGCGGAGCTTCACTATCCTTTCTCTGCCTTGCAGCTATATTTGCTGTGATCATTTGGAATAAAGTAGTTTTAATATGTTTTTAAGTGAGAAAATACACCTGAAAATGTAATCAGTGCAGTCAGTTCATCCAGATTAACATCCTGCCTTCCAATATTTTTTCTGTCGGAGCCGCTCAGACCACCACATACCAGCGGTGCGCCGACAGTAGGAATCCCTTCATCAGCAGCCTCTGGCCGGGTCGCCTCCTCGAGGTTCACCGCGGCAGCTGGTAGGTGTTTGCCATCTAAATAATCCAAACTGCAGGCAGCAGGATAATAAAAGCCAACATATTCTGCCGGCAGATTTCTGCATTTTAAGTTAATTTAAGCGTCAATAAACTGTTTAAGAGGAGTGATCATAGCGCTCTGATCATGAGCGCTGTGTCTCTCTCCCTGCCAGCTCCCAGATCAGCTTCTCTCATTGGTTGACGCGGCGCGTCGAGCAGCAAAAGTTAAATTTTTCCATCTCGAGCAGCAGCGCGTTTGCGGCGCGTCAGATGCTTAAACGCGCTGCGCCTGCTGCTCAAAACGCGCCGCGGGACCCTTTGCTGCGCCTTGACGCGCGTCAACCACTGACTTTGCATGTAAACTCGCTGCTTCTGTCGCGCCTGCTGCGTCCAGTGTGAACGCAGCATTAGTCATTCGTTGCGTTCGCCTGTCTGCTAAGCTCAAAACCACCGCGCCTGGCTTGACGGAGAAACCAGGAGAACAGCTGTGCATATTTACGACAGTGCACTTTTACTTTCGCCCTCTGGGGGGAGCCTCGCTGGAAAATCAACACCGGTTGCATAGTATACCTTTAAATAGAACAGGCATTCTTCGTTGCCGCATCTATAATTTTTTGCATTTTAGCGCATTACGATTGTTGGTGGATAATGCAACAGAAGTTCAAGCAGTCTGGGAAAGCCTCGTCATGCCTGCAATTAGCAATAAATCCATTCAAACGGCCAACAATTGCTGGTGTTCCATCTTTAGTGATAGACACCAATTGGTAGATTGGTTGCTGAGTTTTCTCAACAACAAAAAAAGGACTGAAATATGCAATCTCCTTGTGTGTTTTCTTTCATGGGATGTAATGTTAATAGCTCTTTTGTAGTGAGATCACTAAACACCATATGAAAAAAAATGCACATCTGGGGTGTGTAACTCACATCAGTAGATCCGTCCAACTGCAGTGAAAAACTCTCGCAATCTCCGTTGTTCTTCCAAATTTGCTGGGTTACATCCTGAGCTATGGCTTCACAGTTCAGTGTTACTCTATGTGTCATGATCTTGGAGCTGATGATTGGATTAATTATTCATTTCATTCACCTGTCTAACTCTGCCCGGTTTCCAATCTCTGCTCATCTGATCCAACTGCTCCTGTCTCTATTTAAGGTCCTTGAATCCAGTCCTCAGGGCCAGATTTTCTTGTTCTCGTTCTCTGACGTTCGGACTCCTGGACCCCTAAACCAGCCTGTTCCTTGTTCTGATCGGTATCCCTGACCAGGCTTCAGACTTTGGACTCCTGGACCCCTGTAACAGCCTGTTCCTTGTTCTGATCGGTATCCCTGACCGGGCTCCTTGACTTTATGTCATTTCATGTTTCAGGCCACCAGGGGGGGCAGTGCCCCCCCTGCCCCCCCAAAAACTCCGCCCATGGTCCTGCCGTCCTACTCATTTTTGAATTGGCTTGGCAGTTTTGCTGCAAACTGTTGTAGTTTACACATGGGTAGTGACCTGAAGGTTACTGTTATTGTAATCGGACAGGCTGCGCTGTATGTGAATCAAGTGAGGGGATGGCTTATAGACTACATTAAAACCTATGTAAAAATAGATCTACCTATAAGGCGTTGGCAACTATAGCAACCTATAGAGCACCCCTGTTGTAGATGATAATCTTACAATGGCCCAGTTAAAGTACAGATGGAAATCCATAGCAGGATTTCAAAGTAATAAATTCCTTCCAGGTTTTATTACTACTCTATGTTGGTTCTTCAATAATAATCTACCTACTCTGACCTTTGTGATTGTAATAAACCACAAATTGAATCAATGATTAATTGTCTTTTAAGGCATTGACCAGGCCCAGATATACTGTATGCAGTATGTTTAGCTCAAAACAACTCAATGAAAGCAGCCTACAATTAAACACTGACCAATTAGATTAGCAGCTCTGGGTCCTGTTCCTCTTTTTTTTTTTCTACTGCCCTCAAAACCTTTCTCTCCCCTACAAAGTGTCTCTGCTCTCATTTGGACTGAACCTATTAGCCGTGCACAACACTAATTTGTTTTGATTGATCCTAAAGGCCTGTTAGCAAAGGCAAAACAGTGATGCGGAGACGGCGGCCTTGATATTCAAAATGATTAGTTAGACAATGAGACAGCAGATCAATTAGGCATATCTGGCTGAAATGTATCCCTCCTGTTACTGGATGATATCCAATAAAGCAGGTATAAAAATTCCCTGAGTAAAAGGCCTGTTCTTGTTAATACGATATGTTTACTAGTCTTTAATCTACCTTTTGGTTGTTAAACTGGTTCTGTAATTGAAAGTAAATGCTTAAGAACGGAACAAAGTTATTAGCAGCTGTCAAACTGTCTGATAAACTGCTAATGAAGTGCATTAGGTAACAGTTTGAGACAGCACTGAGGTAATTAGGCAACAAATGTCTCATCATTGCAATGCATTATTTATCGAGTCTCTTTAGCCATTAGAACAGCCTCTTTGAAGAAAAAGTTTCTGTCTTCAAAAAAATTTATTTGACCTCCTTAGAGATATTTTCATTTTTGCTTTTTATTAAATGTACTTAAATATTTCAATGATTGTTCTATGACCTCCCGGAAGCACAATCCGTCCTGCACATGCGCGAATATCTTCCGGGTAGGCAATATTTTGTTTTTCTTACTTTTTTTTTTTTTGTCTTTTTCCGGCGGGGGTGGGGCATTTTTGTATTTGCGTAATTATTGTATATTCTAAAAATGAAAAAAGCAATACACTTAAATAGCCTTAAAGAACGTTACTGTGACTGCTCTGAGCATGTCCGATGATGACATCACGCAATACAATGGAGAGAATGTAATTTATAAATGTGACCCAGTCGTGATGGAAAGACAGGACACAGAAAACTCTCTTTGTGGGTTTGTTTTATTTCCCGACTGTGCCCAGTAGAACACAGTGTTAATTTGTTTTGTTGTGAATTTTAACAGTTGGAATGAACAATAAAAATACAAAATAAGGATCTCAATATTAGTAAGAGACAGGTGCACTTGCACACTATACAGGACAGTAAAAAAATGCAAACGTTGCTAGTATAGACAACAGTAGTGACCTGTCCTAAACAGACAGACAACAGAGCAAAATTCAAGTAAATACATGGCTACAGGTAATATCACAGTCACAAATTTGTCTCATTAAAGTGCATTTGCTTCCTAATAAACATACATTCATGAATTAAATGATTTGTAAATATTTTTAGAACTTCAAGTAACGTGAAGAAATAATTAACTCACTTTTCCAGAGGGCGGCCTGCTCACCAACACACACCCTCACAAGTTGTGACACCGCAAATTCTCTCCCCTCTGGGTCACCCAGAAACAAAGAAAGTTGTACAAAATATATGAAAAACAAATATTAAACAAACTTTGAATTCCGTCAGAACAGTCACAACTTACGCCAACCCGTGCCTTCCGCTCGCAGCGTGGTCGGCTCTTTTAAACAGACAGGCGTTGCACGTTTCAGCAATCTACAGAAATCATCACGAATACAAGGCCATCACGCATTAAACTTGGCTTGCTAGACTACTAAACACTTTGTGACACACAGGTATAGCAGATTGGATGTATTTTAGAGTATTTACCTTGAGTTTTAACCACCATGTATGTCTGCAGTCTGTTAACTTTCCAGACTCCCGCTCGACAGAATGCAGAGTCTACGTGCATGCATGCTCTAAGATGGCGCTGCTCTTAAAGAGGCAGCGTCCCCAAAAACCCCAAATGCAGTAACCACAATATTACAGTAAGAAAGAGAATAAAGGCAACACAAATCTTACATGAACTGAAAGCTCTTAGGAATAAGCTGTGTCACACTGATAGCGGTTATTTATTCACTTGGTTACATTCTCCCCTGCTACAAGTCATCGTCCTCGATGACTTCCTGATCAACCATTTGTCCCCTAAATTTGTTGGTGTAGAGAACCATACCAGCTAGCAGATGGGAGAGTACATCTGGGCTGAAGGACACTGCGTTACATGCTGACCTGGGTAGGTTAAATGGGTTCGAGTGTACCCCTGCCATTTCTCTCCTACTCCTACGTGGTGCAGGTGTGGGCTGGCCTGCTTTAGCTCTCCCAGTTTCCCTTTTTCTTGGAATTGGAGCAGGCCTTGCCTGTGAGGTTTCATAAGCCAAGCTGATGTTTTCTGATGCAGGTGAGTGGCAAATGTTTGGTTCTTCCTCTCGGTCCTCCTCAATAAAATCCCCATTTTCCTCCAGCCTTACCAGATCCTCACGCTCCAGGTGTTCAGCTCTGTTGTCCAAGTCATCTCCTGGCCCTCTAACCATCACATCCAGGTTTTCAGGTTCATCATTCACTGGATGTTTTACTGGGTACTGAACCTCTTCCATCAAGATGAATTCTGGATGTTCAACCTCAGTCCCTGGCTCTTCATGTTCATCCGCAGTGACGACCTCTTGGTCATGTTGCCTTGGCTTCCATACTGGTGTGGGCCCCACACACGGCCTTAAGTTTGATCTGTGCACCCTTCTCAATGACCCTCCTTCCAGAGGAGCTACGGTGTATGTTGTCCCCTGGATATCAACCACTTTGTACACGGTTGATGCCCAGGCATCTTGAATTTTATTTCTTCCTGGTGGTCGGTAGCGGAGGTACACTAACTGTCCAATATCAACCGGTGGGTAAAACACTTTTCCTTGTTGCTGAATGACTCTCTCTGCAGCCTTTCGTTCCGCATATTCTCTGGCCCTGGCATGTGCGTCCTGGAGACGCTCCTGGTGCACCGCTAACCAGTCCAGTTTGTCATCCTTCACTGGCTCCTGGCCTAACAATGCATCAACTGGCAAGTGTGGGTGGACACCAAACAGTAAGTAATAGGGCGAATACCCTGTGGTTGAATGTGGTGTAACATTGTAAGCATACACCAGCTCTGACAGATGTTCGGGCCAACGCCGCTTCTTTTCAGGGGGAAGCGTACGGAGAAGGTTGTGTAATGTCCTGTTGAATCTCTCACATTGCGGATTACCCTGAGGGTGGTGCGGTGTTGTCCGGGTCTTTTTCACCCCATACAGTTTGCATAGCTCAGCAATCACTGCACTTTCAAAATTTCTGCCCTGGTCTGAGTGCAGACGTTCTGGTACCCCATATTTCATGAACCACTCTTTGAGTATGATTTTGGCTGTAGTATCTACCTTTTGATCTCGTGTGGCAAAAACCTGACTGAACTTTGTGAACACATCAGTTATTACAAGAGCGTGTTCACGTCCATCTGTGGCACGTTCAAGTGTGGTGTAGTCAACAGCGACCACTTCCAGTGGGCGAGTAGCCAAGAAGGGAGTTTGGGGTGCCTGAACTCGGGGGTGTGGCATTTTTGTTAACACGCACCTCTGACATTTCTTCACCCATTGCTCCACATCTTCATACATTCCTCCCCAGAAACATCTCTGCCTCAATAAACTCATTGTCCGCTCAATTCCCTGGTGCCCCATTTGATCATGCACACTTTTGAGCACTTGTTCTTTGAGACAAGCTGGTAATAGCAGCTGATAACACAGCCCAAGATGAGCATCCCCAATCACTCGGTACAGAAGTCCATCCTTTTCTCTAATACGGGCCCACTGTTTCAACAGGGACCGCACAGGTTTAGGTAGACCCATTTTCTGTGGGTAACCAGGTTTCTTCTCTCTCCGCCAGAAATCTCCGAAGACACTTAGTGTCTGATCTGATGCCTGGAAGTGCTGAAGCTCTGCGTTAGAATAACCAGGCATGGTTGGGGTGCTGTCCTGCACAGTCTCACCAACCGCTTCCTCATTTGCTTCTGATACATGCAGCAGCCTGACTTCACAAGCTTTGACTCCAGCTGCAACTAAATCTAGGTCTAAATCAGTACCTGCCCTGAACATGTTACATATGGCTATGCAGCCATCATATTCTGCATCCTCGCTGTCGGGTTCTGGCTCATCACCTGATGGCTGCCTGGAAAGGGCATCAGCGGCAGTATTGCAACGACCAGGGCGATACTTGATTTCAAAGTCGAATACAGACAGCTGTGCAACCCATCTCTGCTGAATGGCTCCTAGAGTAGCTGTGGACAGGTGGCAGAGGGGGTTGTTATCTGTTATGATTGTGAACTTAGAACCCAGAAGATAGCTCCTAAACTTTTCTGTAACTGCCCACTTTAATGCTAACAGTTCAAGCTTCATGCTGCTGTAGTTCTGATCGTTCTTTTCAGCCCCTCTGAGTCTCCTACTGGCATAAGCTATAACTTTCCTTTTCCCTCCTTGTATCTGATAAAGGAAAGCACCTAATCCTAGACTGCTAGCATCTGTCTCAAGTGTGAAGGGAAGGCTAAAGTCAGCGTAGCCTAGCGTGGGGGTACTGGTTAACTTTTCCTTGAGTAGCTCGAAAGCTTGTAAACACTGTGGTGTCCAGGCCGAAATAAAAAGCTGTTTAGCCCTGTACTGACTGCTCTCTTTAATACATACATTCACAACATCATGAAGTGGCCCTGCGATTTGGGAGAAACCCTCAATAAATCTCCTGTAGTAACTACAAAATCCTAAAAAGGACCTCAGCTCTTTCACAGTACTAGGGATGGGCAACTTAGTCACCGCACTTATTTTGTCAGGATCCGCACTAATGCCCTGGGCTGAGACTTCATGACCCAGAAACCTGACTTTAGGCTGGAGGAAGTGGCATTTCTCAACTTTTACCTTAAGCCCAGTCTCCCTTAGTCTTTTCAGGACAGTCTCTAGTCTCACCAGATGATCTTGGAATGTTGCTGAGAACACGAGCAGATCATCCAAATAGATCAACACCATTTGGAAGACCAAGTCACTCATCGTGGCCTGCATGAGACGTTGAAACGTTGCCGGGGCGTTGCATAACCCGAAAGGCATTCTCAAATACTCATACAAGCCAAATGGTGTGGTAAATGCTGTCTTGTCTCTGTCTTTCTCATGCACTGCCACCTGGTGGTAGCCACTTGCAAGATCAATGCTTGAGAAGAACTCTGCACCACTCAGAGCATCCAGGCTTTCCTCAATGCGGGGAAGTGGGAATGCATCGCGTCTGGTCTTTGCATTCAGCCTGTGGTAGTCCACACAGAGTCTAAGGCTTCCATCTGACTTTCGAACCAAAACGACTGGTGAAGCATAAGAGCTTGAGCTCTCTTGAATTACTCCTTTTCGCAGCAGCTCAGAAATGTGTCCCCTGACCTCTTTGTATTGATTAGGTGGAATGCGCCTGTATGGCTGAGAAACGGGTGTCTCATCTGAAACCGGGATTTCATGTTTCACACGATCTGTGTACCCCAAATCTTCGTCGCGAAGTGCAAAGACATCTGCATAGTTTCCCAGGAGAACCTTTACTTCTGCCTGTTCTTCTGGTGTACCTCCAATGTGTAATCGGCTGAGCAAGTCCTGTATGTCACTGTCTGTTTCCTGACAATCCTTCTGATTGATGCTCACCTCCTCATGGTCAGCAGAAATGCGCTCAAACTTCACTTCATATGGGTCACCATCCATGCACTGGCCCTGACTGAGGGTTCCTATTCTAGCCTTAGGTGGCAGCCATAAATCCTCCTGGGAAAGGTTGATTACCTGGACTGGAAACAATAGGCTGTTAGTTGATACTAAGGTTGGGATCACAACTAACCCACCTGGCAGTAGAACGTTTCCTTGTTCGAACAACATGCTCTCAAACTGTTTACTGTGAACCCTAACATAGACAGTGGTACCTGATGAGGCGGGAACTCGCACTTTGTTTTTACTGGCGACACGGGCGACAGATATCTTTTCCACCAGCTCAGCTTCCTGTACACGGTGGCAGGCCTCCCTCCAGTTGGAATCCAGTTCCCCACCTAGAGCGGTGTCAAACTCGGGGAGAACTAACTGTCTACACCGCTTTGCAATGTTCATCCCTATTATGCCAGGCAGGGATGAATCTGTCTCTCTGGCGTTGACCTTTTTTGTTCCATCATCTCTGATTATTAGGAAACCACACTCTGGAACAGTAAGTCCCATCACCTGTACGTCTAGTTCTACGTAACCCAAGTAGGGCAGTGGCAACTTGTTGGCTGCTGTTATTTTTAGCCACTTGGCAGTACAGTGCATATCTTCATCTTCTCCATGTAGATGATTCCTAAAGAAACTTTCGGTCAAAGTGCTTACATTACTTCCCGTGTCAAGCAAGTATCTGAGGGGAACACCTCCGATCTGGATATCCACCTCAGGGCACTGTCCTACAGCATGCTCCAGAAAGTGTTCTTTGGTCAGAGTTTCTTTTGAGCCTTCTGACTTGCCTCGCATTGCCAGGCTCAGAGCAATGGAGGGCTCCCGTTTCCCTGTACCGCAGAACCAGGCATGCCTGGAGACTGATTGGTAGGCTCACGTTGTGTGTTGCAGTATCTGGCCATATGTCCCACCCCCTCACATCGCAGACAAATCGGCTGACCGTCTCTGGTGTATTTGGGTTTAGGTTTAGTCCTAGCACTCCTACTGTCTTCAGAACTGGCAGCCTGTGTAGTGAGCTCTCGAACTGCATTGGTTAATTCTCCTATTGCTTTGCCTTGTTGTGCGATTATTTTAACCACCTCTTGTAGAGTAAAAGCCAGATCTGTCTGTGAATTTATTGTGGAGTCGGTCTTTTCTAAGTTGTCATTTGGTCTGTTACCTACTATATTTCTATTTCTAGCCACATTAGCACTGCGTGGACGGTCCTGGTCCTCCATAGTCCACATTAATGCCTCTTCTCTAACATCAAAGAGATTACAATCAGGTTTCTCTCTAATAAGTCTGCGTAGTTCGCGCCGAAGAGTGGAGTCACGCACGCCTTCAATGAACTGATCGCGGAGTGTTAGCTGCGTGTCGGGTACTACACCAGGAGACTGCTGTAGTGCAGAGTTTAGCAGCTGAGACAGGGCATGTGAATAATCCCGCAGGTCTTCCCCATCTAGTTGCCGACGGGCGTAGAAAGCATGTAAGAGCTGTGGAGTGGTGCGTTTCTCCCTAAATGCCTCCCTCAAGTATGAAAAGAGATCACGGGGTTGTCTCGCTTGCCCACCCATACGCAACTTAACTTCCTCTAAGGCAGAGCCCTTTAGCTGTGAGAGAATGAAATCAGTTTGATCCTCCCCATGCAAACCCCTAGTTCTCATTGCTCTTTCCACCTCATCTATAAACTCATCAACAGTGTAAGCATCTTTTCCCGCTTCTCCACAGAAAGGTACAATTGCCTTTTCTCTTGGGATGTAAACAACAGATCTGGTTTGAACATTACACATATTAGAAATACTTGACATAGCAGCATCATGTTTTCTACTTAGTTCGAGAATCTGTGTTTGCAGCTGCACAAAAGGGTTACCTCCACTGTCAAGCGAAGGGGCAGCTTGGCTGTCTTCATCTGAGCCTTGTCCAGCCCCTGAAGGGCCTGCTCCCTCGTCCTCTAGCGACATGTCTCTGAGTTCTTTCTACCGCGGGATCACGCAGTCACTTTGTGTTGAGATGCAACAGGTCAAATGTCTCTGTCCTGCTTTCTCTCTTCCTTGGACCGCCGATGTAGACTTCCTCCTCGTCCTGTTGCACTAGCCGCCACAGCACACGACCACCTCAGGACCCTCGCACCGCAGTCGTCTCCTTCCCGGACCAGGACTGGAATCTTCCAAGCCACTACTGTTGTCTATAAAGCTCTGCTCACTGTCTCTCTATAAAACTTAAAACTCAAAACTAAACGGGAAATCCCACTTCTGACACCAAAATGTGACCCAGTCGTGATGGAAAGACAGGACACAGAAAACTCTCTTTGTGGGTTTGTTTTATTTCCCGACTGTGCCCAGTAGAACACAGTATTAATTTGTTTTGTTGTGAATTTTAACAGTTGGAATGAACAATAAAAATACAAAATAAGGATCTCAATATTAGTAAGAGACAGGTGCACTTGCACACTATACAGGACAGTAAAAAAATGCAAACGTTGCTAGTATAGACAACAGTAGTGACCTGTCCTAAACAGACAGAAAACAGAGCAAAATTCAAGTAAATACATGGCTACAGGTAATATCACAGTCACAAATTTGTCTCATTAAAGTGCATTTGCTTCCTAATAAACATACATTCATGAATTAAATGATTTGTAAATATTTTTAGAACTTCAAGTAACGTGAAGAAATAATTAACTCACT